TCTTATCTATCTATCTATCTATCTATCTATCTATCTATCTATCTATCTATCTATCTATCTATCTATCTATCTATCTATCTATCTATCTATCTATCTATCTAAGCCTGGATGACGTCATTTTTCAAATCTTAATAATAATAAATAATAAATAGCATTTGTATAGCGCATAACCCCACTCGACAGCAAGCTCTATGCGCTTTACACTATATTATTACCCCAGCAGACCACAGAACACTCAGAAACAGTCTCAGCTTTCCGGGAAGCATACAGTGCAAGCAGCTGATTAAGCGCTCGAACACTAACAAACTGACAAGATCTTTCACTGTCTATAGCTGGGTACCCATTTCCACCTGGGTGAAGTGGGGAAAACTCGTGTCAAGTGCCTTTCCCAAGGATACAACGTCGGGTCCCTGACATGATTCGAACCCACGACCTTACGGTTGCGAGTCCGAAAGCCTAACCATTAGGCCACTGCGGCTTTCACTTGTACTGTGGGGACAAAATGTCTCCGTTTGGAACAGCAGGCAACTGTAAGTCCAGTGCCACACTTAACTAGGCCTACGACAAAACAATTACTGCTGGTCAACAGTTTTGTCCGTGAGCTGTGGAAATAAGAGAGGCCAACCGTGTCAGTACAACACACTTCTTTTGTTGTTCCTTTCTCATTTTCCACCACTCACCAGTTGCTTTGTCGTTGTGCGGTTCAAGGTTCACAGATATTTTAGGAGTGAGTAGGTAGTATGCACCTGAGAAAAGAAAACTTACAGCCGCTTTTGTTGTTGTTTTGTTTTAGGGGGGATGCGGTTGTATGACAGGATTGGACATTACGCTCCTGAATAGTCGACAGAAAGAAACGAGATGGGGATTGGCCTCATGACAGACCGACCCCTACCTCTAACCCTACACCAACAACCTTTCCTCTGCCCCCAGTCTCCACCACTACCACCTACCCTTTCCTAAACTTCTATACCAACACCGCTCCCCCCAAAAAAAACCAACAACCCCAAAACAAAACAAAAATAAACAAGTACGTGCTTCGGCCGTGTCAAAGTCAACAAGAACAACAGCGTCCTTATAATGTCTTGAATGCACCGATTCTACTGTGGCCTACTGGGGCATGTGTTTCTATAAATAAACAGTAAACAATATTATACACAGGCAGGGCGGATTGCAATGAGTCTGTATCAAAGGAATGTGGCAGGCCATGGTTTCATGCAAAACCAGTATGGACACCATTGTCTATGTGACAGAATGAGCTCGAGGGCAAATCAATTTACTGACAATTCCGCCTCGCAGCACAGCTGTAGATCTAAATATTGAACCTGAGCTTGAGAAGAACACATAGAATAAAGGACATTTAGATAATACAGAAAAGGAGAAAAAAGAAGGATAGTAAAAAAGTAGGACTAAAACCAATGGCTTTATCAAACCACCTTCACAAACGTCATAGTGTCAGCATTGTCGTCAAAACTAGTATGAAGAACAAGACCACTAATCCTCCCCCTCCCTTAATTTTTTGTCAGTGTTGCACACAAGAGACTTTGTCTTCGTATATTGAATAAGCCCCACTGATCTACTCTCCACTACATTTTGTCGTAAAATGTCTTTAACTTGTCCGTATAGCTTTAATCGATTCATCATAGTACATTCTGTATGCATGTACATGTCCAGAAAAGAGATAAGCAAAGGCTTCGATAGAAAGAAACCGGGAACGGTCTAAACTGGCCGAGATATGAAGCTATCTTTTAGAATGAATATTATCCTATAAATAACAATTGTTCGCTTTTTCCTTTCCCACAGATTCATTGATAAAAAGGTACCCCATGATATAATAGAATAATGGGGCCTCCAAACAAGGCGACATTAGCACTTAATGCATAAAAAAAGCCGACATCAATCGTTCATTGGAGGTATTTATCACCTCCACTAGCCCATTCTAGATCAATGTTTGAAAATCTATTTACGACCTGCGCCCACGTTTGCCACCCTTAAGAAGTTAAAAATGTTCTCCCGCCAACCAACATGCACATTTGTATTACTTCCAAATGGGTCGTAGAATAATACCTGTCACTACCTGGATGATCCTCGCCGCCTATTATCAGCATTTGTTCCAAGCCTCCCACTTGACCGCCCAGCTCGGCGAACACTGGTCTATGTCAAATAAATATGTAAAGCATC